TTTTTTTCCTTCTCTCTTTCAATCTTCTTTCCTTTGCGCGTATGCAGCTTGTTTCGATATATTGCACTCGGTACTTCCGCGCCCACGCTTCCTCGCGCGAGTACGTTCGCTTGAAATATTTTTTGCATCGCATTATCTCGATGTAAATAATCCGAAATTTCGATAAATAAAGCGACGAAGGTGTCGGAGAGATTTTTCGATATAATTGCAGCCTTGATGAAATGCGCTTTCAAAAAAGATTGAGACAGATCGGTGAATCGAAGAAATAAATCGCGATTTATATATAGTTGCAGTTGAATTAATTAGATCCCTCTATAAGTATAGATAATATAAAATATATATTATATGTATAAGAAAAAAATTAATAAATTACTGTAGCAAAATTTTTCATAATTTTATGAGAATGACATTTGAGAAGAAGAGAGTTTTAAAACACTAATGATAATTCTTGACTGAGATTTTCTCCATGATAGAAGCATAAATCTTAATTAAGAAACATAATTGTGCACAAAAAGTTAATAACACGAAATATATATGGATGCACAGTTTTGAAAGGGAACAATTTTAATGAGATTGTTATACTATTAGCTTACGAGACTAGATAAGAAATTATTTCTAGTCCTCTATTTTCCTTAATCTTTTTCCTTCCCCTTCCATTCCTTCCTTTCGATCAGGAAAACGATCTACACAATAACGAGATAATGCGACGGTCGAGTAGAAGCAACAGCTTCTTCGACGAACCAGTTTTATCTCCCACGCTGGAGGCTGACATTTCTTTTTCATTCATTTTCCACGCCCACAATTCGAGCACACAGCATTGTGAACAAAAAATGATTTTATATATCGTGAAGCCAGAATGATTTTTTAATGTCACGTCTTTCGGTTCTTTCAACGTCGGTTTCCTCTCAAAGAAAATGTCCAAGAAGTTAATTACAAAAAACATCTGCCCTTAAAGACTAATGCAATAGAAACAGATCATTCTAAATATAGTTTGAATCAAAATAAAATAAAAAAGATTTATTCTTCAATCTCTTTTTAAAACGTTTTTTTAATTATTATCATTTAAATATTTAAAATTATCACGTTTTGTTAAGATATTAGATTTTGTTTAAATTTATTATTTGCGGAATAACAAAAAACATAATAACACGGTGTCAGAATATTAATAACAAAGTCTTCATTTAGCGAGCGAACCAATTCCGCTGATAAGACGGCGACAAACTGTATTCGCACATGCTTGCAACGCATGATCTCAAATTCAGAAACTTTATTCATCGTTTTTTTTTTAACTCGACGCGACGACAGGACAATACGTTCTTTATTCACACACTTGGATTGTCCTGCGATTTGTCATACGACCCTGGGCCACCGATAATTTCTTCAATCGACGCACCTTGACCTGCAACGCCAATAATTTTATTCGTTTATGTACGCGCCGAGATAACCCCCCGATTAAAATTAACCGAAGGATGACTTTGAACGAAAGTTAAACGCGAATTTAAGTTTGCGCAGCGCTGAATCTCATCGCCGAACTTTTCAAACTCGATTAATAATGATTGCTTATTATTATTTTTTCAATCAGTCTTCGCGAGTTTGAATTTTCTAATATAATATTTCTCCACTTCTAGATTTTCTTTTTTCACAATTTATTACTTTTATAAAGATATATATATCCATAAGAAATATTTATATTTATTCTTAAAATTATATCTAAAAAAAATTGATTTTTGCTCGATTCTCAGAATACAATTTATTGTTAAATATTAATATAAACTATTTAAATCGTTCTCTAAAGAAGTTTTTGAATAATAAATTATGTATCGATTTTGTGCACATATTGCGAGATTCTTGACAAGTTACACTTTGTGTAGGTGCATTTCAATTGTGCTCGGACCAGGCCGATTTTGCGACATATATATGTACGTACGTCACGAGTGTTACCTGCGAGATAAGCACACCGGAAGTGCGTCAACGCCGTTATATATTTCATACTTAAAGTCACACGTCGTGCTTGAGCCCGGAAAATTTTCTCAGATATTTATTCAGCACAAGATTGAAATTATATTGATTTTCTTCAAACTGTATAAGAGAGAGTATAGGAAAAAAATTATATAATTGAATAAGCATATAGAAAAACATTATTTATTACCCAACGTAAATTAAATGTACAAAAAATTATAATACTAAAATAATAAATTATAAATAAGAAAATGTATTTTATTTTTTAAACTGTGAAGACTTGATTGAATTTTGATAAACAATAAATTCCCGATTTAATCAGATATTTTTACACTATAACGACAAATGATCGAAATCGACTTTTTGGACACCAATGCAACAATTTTATGCGACAAAGCGTTCGATTAATCTTCAACCCTCGCGCAATTACATTCATTATTTACGATCTCCATGCATATACATGCGTATGTGCCTGGATTTCCCACGGAGCACGTGTTTACCTCACATGCAATAGATATGATCGTCCACGTGCATTTCGACGAGATGGATGGAATGACGATTACAACGCAAAGTAGTGATGTTATCGATTCGAGGAAATTGGAATCTATAGCAATTAAAATATCTTCTATACGTTTCATTATAATTGTTGTATTCATTGTGTTTTATGAGCCATCTCTTCCGCCTATATTTTGAAAATTAAAAAGATTTCCAGAATAACTTATACTTAAAAATTATTAAATAGAAGCAATTCTATTACATTAATTTTTATAGTAATTTCAATTATCTTTAAAAAAATTATTTGCTTAAAATGTCGAATTCTTTTTATCAGGGAATTATAATTAATATTATTTTACTTTTAAATTTCATAAAATTTTGCTACATTTTTTTATCTAATTAAAGTAAATAAAATATTTGATACAAATTCCAATATATTACATAAAAATTATCAGAAACATCATTAGTCTTTGGAGATATGCCATCAAGGTAAAACATGAATACGGTCCCAAAGAGCGAGGAAAACCCAATTTGGATTACTTATCAGTGGAATCTAGATATACAGATACGAATCAATAACAGTCATGTCTTTTATCTAATCGGAGTAAAAGTATGACCAGGCTTCTCATTTGTTGCAACATTATCAAACATTCAAAGCTACTATTTATAATATTATTCAGAATAATAATGTTGATATAAATAATTTAGTCGAGCCATAATTTTAAAAATATAATAAAGAGAGATAAAGAAATAAATCATATTATAATGCGCACATGATATTAATAAAAGAACAAAAGCTTCGTGTAATATCACACCCCTATTACTTACTCCTTTCCCGTCTTTTCATTTTTCCTGACAGCTTATTAGTTTAATAATTAAATATACAATAAAGAGAGATAAAGAAATTAATAATAATTAAAAATATAATAATAAAGAGAGATCAAATAAATAATCATATATTTTATAATGCACACAACTATGATATTAATAAATGGACAAAAGCATCGCGTAACATCACGCCCCTTATTACTACTCTTTTCCCGTCTTTTCATTTTTCCTGACAGCTTATAATTTACTTTCTAATTGCATGTAATAGTATGCTTTGTGTTTTACTTCGATTCAGTTACTCAGCAAGAAGTTCACCCTATTACGTTCGATGTTGTTGAATAAATACGAGTCTAGAGACATCAGCCACATACTTTTCGCTTTTTTTGCTACATACATGATAGAAGTCAATCAAAAAAAAAAAAATAAATATTTGAAATTCATTCATCTTCTGAAATTGTGATTAGGAGTTCAAGGACGGAAATTCTTTTTCGCATTGTATTTTCGAACTCTGTCAACATTTTAAACTTTTTACTTCAGATGACAGAAATTTTCACAATCAATTTTCATAAAATTAAGCAAGTATAATTTAGATCTTATGCAACGCTTAAAATATTGTAAACATAAACGCATACAAACACTATCGGGAATTTCGTTGACGTACTTACCCAGATACAAACTCTTTACTGCATGTCTATTTATCTCGAGTGCTGTATACACATTTATATAAGATATACTCTTACGAATATATCTTCATTTTGTATTATATATCCTATTATATTATACAACAAGCTAAGCTCAACATTATAAGTGTCAGAGTTATAATAAACTCAAGATAAAGCTGGTACTAGGATAAATACTTCTTCTGGTTCAAACTATTAGGAATAATAATAATAATAAACACTTTTTGATCTTTTATCCTTAATAAGAAAACCTCTGCTGTTTCAAAATATTTTTCTGCTCCAATATTATTAATAGGAAAATTATTAGATAGGATATTATTAATAGGGATATTAATAGGGTTTTTCCTCTGCTTCAGAATATTTTTTGTGATCCACAAAATTACTACTATAAAAACTTCATTTTTTGCTCCAAAATTTTAATTGCTAATAATGGAATCTTTTGTTCTACTTCAAGATATTCCTAATCCAAAATTATTAAAGGAACTTTTCATGTGTAATCATGAGAAAGCAAAAGATAACTCGTAATATATTTGACAACAGTTATTATAGTAAATTCCGGTCTTTCGACGACATGTACAACACAATATCTTTTTCCTGTAAATTTCCTATCTCGCGAAAGAATCGGGGAACTGTTACCAACCGAGTGTCTCTATCCACGCAGTACTATATCTGCACCTGCAGAGTCCTGATCATGGCAAAGTGGCACAGCTATGAGAAACCTCTTTAACTACTTTGTTTCGCAAGTATCAGCATCTAGACGATTAATATTGTATCTTCAGCTACACCTTTCTCTCTTTCTCTCTCTCTCTCTCTCTCTAACACACACTCCCTTTCTCTGACTCTCTCTCCCTCTCTCTCTCTCTCCCACTTCGACAAAATTGCTTCTCTCTCACTCTCTCTTCTCTCTCTCTCTCTCTTACTCTCTCGTCATCAGCAGCTACGCCATCGTGAGACTCCGGTTTTGAAGGCGCTCACCTATTTTCCTTGTCGAAAAAGTTGGATCAGGTCGTCACTAGTCAGAAAAGTGGAGGAACTCACTTGCACTCACCGGTTCGCCGACAAGCGTCACATCTCCGCGTCGCTGAAGACGTTGTTGGCTGCCACCTTCCCTCCTCTCGTCCTCGTCGTGCTGATGATTGTCGTCGTGCTGACGATTCTCCTCGGCACTTCGGAGTAATCCGAGCGATCGGACTCCCCTTGTCGTCCGAAACGATATCACAACGACGTCGCAACGGACAAAGCCATCTTGATGGGGGCACGCGCGCACAAACGGCACCTCGATCTACCTCTGATCGTGGCGATCAGCTCCTCTTGCCAACACTGGAGGCAACCGAGTGAGAGCCCAGCATGATGGTAGACCAGCATGGCTTGATGGCGCCACAAGACGATTGCTAACTCGTCCCCACTCTCGCGTTGATACCTCCTCAAGAGTTATCACTTGCGCATAGGCTCTGATAAACCTTTCGCCTACCCTTTCCACAAACACCCTAGTACCGACCAAGTCCATTTAAGAGATTTCAAGTGGTATTTTTGAAACCATGACGTAGCCCGGATGATCCGACGTGACCTTGAAGAGAGGTTTATAGTCTACAGGCGGCAACCAGCGCCACTCTAAAGGCGGCAACTTTTGAAGTTGGAAATGAACTTTCATTGAAGGCACAAAGATTAAATGAAATGTATTATCCCATAAAGAGTTTTGCGAGATAGCGCTGTCCTTATACTTTCTTACTTTCGCAAATTTTGGGTGGATTTTGTTTGGAAAATCATTCAAAGACAAAGTAGCGTCTTTTTAAAAAAAGAATAATGCTGACAAATGTCATTAAAAAATAATATATTGTCACAATAAAAATAGCTGTTTAATTGGAAATAAGGAATAATAAAAAATATAACACAAAATTATAACAAAAAAACGAAGAAACAATCAAAATAAAATAAATTTTCAATTTTATGAAAATCTTGATAATTTGACGCTCGTCGGATATTGAGATTCTCTTAAATAGATTTTATTTGAGAGCACTAAACAATTATTATCTACGCTCTACAACAAGTATATCCTTCTGAGATGCTACCTCAGCCTTACTTTTGCCCTCTGAAAAATGACGGCATTGCGAAAAAAAAAAAGAATCGCACAATATTTCTCACAAATAGCACAGTAAATAGTTTTCTTTTTTTTTTCCAATCTCACATGTTCTTTCTCTTTCTCTCCTCCCATCGCACTCGTTTACTTATTCGCTTCTCTAAGTAGATAAATCCTTACTGTGGCACATTGTATAGTAGACTCTTAAGTATATAAATAAGTCGTAAGTCGATGCCTTGTTTAGATTATTAAATATATATGTATATGTGTATATATATTGTATATGTGTATATGAATATTCAATATATCTTTATGTTGTATATAGACTAGAACTCCTCGACACGTATCACATACTAATATTGACTATCGTGTTTCTCGACGAGACTCGGAAACTCTTCGTATTCCAAGTCCTGGCGACGTTTTCGTCCTCCCGGCCTTCTACTTCGAATGTATATTTTGATCTTGGCAAATCTTAAAATGGACTCTTTTCTTATTCGAACCTCTTTCAATGCTAAAGCGATTATGTATTCTTCCATGATCGAAATGCTGCCTCTGCAAGATTGTCAGAGAGACGAAAACGCGCCGTCGTCTTATTGCTGCTTCATATTGACTTTACGATCGTGATCAATTGCTTATATCGCTAATACTTTCGCATACTTTCATAGTATTGTAATTTCGCCCGAGCTTCATTCGGACTTTAAAAAGAATCTGAATTAATTCGCTTAAATGTCACTCGAAATTATCGTACATTTTATTTCTTTCCGTGGAAGAAGAAAGTATTTTTTTTTTCTCATTTTAGTCAATAAATTCATATTTTCCAATGTCTCTTCAATTAATCTCTTGATTGTTTTGAGTTTGTATCTCTTCCATTTGCTTTACTTGACCTTATGCATCTTGTTACTTTTACGGAAAAAAATAAGATGCTGTAATCGAATTTCTTTCGCTTCTTCATATTTAGATAAATATAAATGATGTATATTATTATTTAAAAAAGATTAATCCACCTCTCTTTCTCTTCAAAGGAATTAATTTGCGTTTCAATAGTACTCTAATAATTAATACTTTCATATAGCCAAAAGGCATTGCTATTTTCAAAAGTACTCCTTCAGCCTTTAAGAGACTCTCGTACACATCTTATATACTTATCAATCTTGGACTTAGGCCTGAAAGATTTGCAAATACTTTGAATATCTCCTCTCCTCCCGCTATTCTATCTCATTTTACTCATTTTAAATTCTACGGCTCGCATTCTCGCGCGAGTTATATTTTTTCGCGAGGAAAATTCTTGGAGCGGATCACGAGAAAAGTACACAGAGAGAATTTTCTCTTAGAATTTATCCTGAAAATCATCCTAATCGTGGACAATATGGTATCGAAAGAATTTTACAGGGACTTCTCTGATTCAAATATTTACCACAATCAAAATAGTAATATCTACCACAATAAAATATAAAATATGCTCGATGAATTTTACATATTAATATTTTCTATTATGATAAACATCAATCAGACAAATTCTTATAAAATTCTTCCAATACCATATTGTCCAGGATTACCATGACTTTCAGGATAAATTCTAATTCTCTCCTTGTAGGAGAAAAATAATGGATTCCTTAATTCGACTCTCCGCTGGCGACCGTGCCGTCGGTTGGAGGACCGGTCACGATTTGAGGCTCGTTCGTAGGAAGCCCTTGCATCTCCTGCAGCCCTTGCACCCCCTGGAACAGCTTGCCGGGGAATCCCTGCAGGAGATCGTAGGAGACCGGCGTGGGTGGAAGAGCGGTGGTGTGTGCGTGCGGCGATTGCAGAACGGCTATCACTCTTCGGAGCTCCTCCAACGCGTTTCCTGCGTCATTTCCCATTCATTCATTCGAGTCGCGTGATAAGCGCGCAGGAAGAAAGTGTCGAATCAAAACTTATATATACTTGTATGGTGCGCAAAAAATTGCTGGATTGTAAACATTTTGTATAGTTCACTCGACAAGAATATTAATCTTATTATTTAAGAAATAATTTGTTTTTAGATAAATAACATATTTTATTATATTACTGGTATGCGCGCAAAAATTGCTTGAACGAGCACTTTTTATATAGTTCACCCAAGAAGAATATTATTAGTCTTATGATTTAAGGAATAATTTATTTTCATACAAATAATATATTTTATTATGTTCTTTAGATGTCGATATATAATATTTAAATAAGAAATATTTTTGCAATTTAAAATTTAGCAAATTTTATAAGAAAATTGCAGAATCTTGTAACGAGATTTATATATTGTTGCGTGTACATATAATTTCAATGATAAATAAGAATCACATTTGCACACAAAATTTTAACAAGTATTATTTTTTAACGCACACAATTTAATTTTTTCATAAGAGATTTGCGTTGAAAAAATCTTATTAAAATTTAGATGTAGATTTTTTAATTTACCTTGCATAAGGATGTAATTTTTCGCCAGAAGAAGGGTAGCTATTTTCGACAGCTTTCTCACGGAAGGACTATGCGCGTAAGGGATGACAGAGCGAAGCTCGTCCAGGGCGTCGTTCAAATCGTGCATCCTTCTACGTTCTCGCGCGTTAATATTCAGCCTTACGCTCTTTCCTTGACGAGTCGTCTTCGATTTCGGCGGGCAGTTTAATCGCGAAGCTGCTGGTCTGAAAAACGTCACGATGTGTCAACTTTTTTTTTTTTCTAATTATTTTATCTTAGTCTCGCGGATGGTTAGACAGCTTCATTTTCTCGTTTAGATGAAAATTTGGAAACGCAATGAAATTGAAAGCGAACCTCTCGTCGGGTCGATTCTCGTCGGACAACGCGCTCGACGAAGCGTGTGGTTGAGGTTGTTGTTGAAAGTAAAAACCACCGAGACCCACGGCACCCAACGGAGTCCTTCGTCCTGGTGCACTCTGGGTGTGTTCCGACGAATATCCGGCCGGTGGGCCCGAGACGCCCGGATGTGAACCCCCTGGTGTCGAATATACGGATTCGAGAGCCGCTGCCGATTGTGGAGGCAGTGGATGCTGGAAGGCATTTTTGTGTCATTTCTCGTTTTGTTGGGATTTTCATATTTTCGATGCAATCGTTACTTACGACGTTACGATGCTCCCAGGCCCAGGTGGGATGCGATGCTGTGCGTTGCCAGGACCCTTGCTGCAGATGCGCTTCCGGTAAACCTTCCCTGCGATCGTCGTCTTCTGTCGAGCTGCTCTCGCCGTCGTAGGATCTCATTCTTCACTCTCTCGATTTTTAACCGGCAAATTCCTCTTCTTTCTATTCAATCCCTATATTTGCAAATTCCAGCTCTCTGCGCGTTTTCAAATATAAAAGTCTTTAATTTTGAATTTATTTCGCGAAATGTTTTTTTTTCGCACTTCCGATAAATAAATGATTGCATTAGATAATTTATTACATTGGATGCAGTTAATTATTTTCTCATTAATAATTAATTTTATTATTGCAATATTTTTATTTCCAAAGCTTGTAATATATAGGTATTTTTGTTTCGTAAATTTTCAATCTCGCGTGAATCGATTTTAGGAAATAAATTTTTGTATGTTTTGCGAGATAAAAATGATTTTGTATCGAGCTTCATATTTATATATGTGCATTCTCTCGGTGCGAACGAATTTTGGTTTTCTCATTTTCGCATTCGATTAGCGAGCGACCAGCGCCATTCGCGGGGCGTCATCGGCCAGTCTAACGCAATCAATAGCAAGTGGAACACTTACCGACGACGATTTTTTCTCCAGCCCCCGCGCGCTACCCCCGCGGGGTGCAGAATACGGCAATCAGCAACGCTTTTCGCGCATCGGCGCGCAGCACCGAATCATCCCTCCGTCCGTCCTTCTACGCACTTTTTCGCCAACAGTTTCACGGATAACCGGCTCTCGAGGATTTCCCGATCTGTGGGGTGCCTTTTATTATCCAAAATCACTCGGAGCCAATCACAGCCATTTTAATTCGGGCAGGAATCGAGTTTCGATGACCGATATGGGGAAAAAATCTCGCGAATCGTTTCGGAGATTCTCTCCCCGTGTTGCGTGACGTTCCGATCGTTTTTTTCGAAAAATCTCTCGTCTTTCGGTAGAATGGTCCAGATTCGTTTTTCACAAAATTATCACGCCCGAGCGAAGCACATCGGGGGCACGCACGCGTCTCCTTCGTTGTTTGGCAGGTCCTGCGCAGGAGGAGAGCGCAACCCTTAAACTAGTTCGGCCATCGCGCGCGAGGGTGCGCGATCGAGGGATGCTGCGCTGGACCCATCGGCTGGCGAACCCTGGCGGGTCGAATTCAACATCTTTTCGGAGCATAGTTTGCGTTACCATCGGCAAAAGGAAACTCGTGTCTAAGAGAAGCGAGAGAAGTCGCTAGATGCCGGATATATATTGGGTGCAAAGATATGTTGCGCATTTACTTTTTCGTTTCTAAGCAAAATTATTCTTTCACGAAATGAAAATTTTTAAAACTCTCGAGGAAGAGATATGATTTTTTTTTTTTCATTAAAAAGACAAATCGTTCATTGACATTTTTATGAATCAGAATTTTGCTCCGAAATTGCTAAACGAGAAAATACGTGTCGTTTACAATTACATGTATTAATCGTTAAAATATTTATCGTACACTTACGTAGGATAATATTACTTTTAAATAATGCAATTAAAACACTTGTTAGTATAAATCTATCTAAGGGTGATTAATATTTATCAATTGCAATTAAGCGCAACATTATTTATTATATCGCTGTTCAATTATTTACTCTGCTACACAGCATATTATTGTTCCATTATTTTCTCTTTGTTTCATTCTTAAATACTACTATATACAGGGTGTCCGGTAACTAACGGACCAACGATTACAAATGGATTCTTTGGGAACGATTTTTCCTCAGCGAAAATGTCGAAAAAGGTCATCATTTTTTACAACTTTCCAATATTTGTCATTATGTATCTTTATAATTAAGCCTCGAATTAAAATTTTATTATAGTAAACTCTACCTGAAATTAACTGAAGAATGTAATTATAATATATATATATATATATATATATATATATATATATATATTATATATATAGTATATATATATATACATTTTTTACAACTTTCCAATATTTGTCATTATGTATCTTTATAACTAAGCCTCAAATTAAAATTTTATTATAGTAAACTCTACCTGAAATTAACTGAAGAATGTAATTATAATATATATATATATATATATATATATACATTTATTTATTTATTATTCTATTAAACAAGAGATTTTCAATTTTGGGCTCTTGTAAAGAAATGAACTCCCTCCACGTCGTTTCCAGTTGAATAAATTCCACGTCCTTTTTTTTTCGCAGCGTTTTCCGCTCCGTCCGATTTATTTTACGCCGTGTTTATAGTCCGTACGTACGTTGTCATTGAATGTGATTAACGCGTTTGCGCGTGGAAAAATACTAGGAGCATCGCGGGGATGCCGAGACAATTCGGCGACAATCCTCTTCCCAATTTCTCATCCACCTTCTTTGCGTGTGAATCATACCTCCCCTTTTTCCCTCCGCGTTTCACCCACGCAGCGCGACTGTGGTTGGTTTTACACTTTTGCCCGGATCGAGTGTGTTTGTTTACTGTAAACACAATGCGACGTAATATTACCGGAGCGCCAAGCGAGAGATGATCGTAACTTCGGCATCGCATAAATTAATCGAAGGGATTAAGCAGGGATTGTTGCGCCGGCCAACACGCTTTATTATTGCAGAAGGGAACAAAAATAATTAATGTTTGCGCGGTAAGTATTTCGAGATGTTTTGCGCGCTAAATAAATTCTTCGAAGCGTCTTAAATATAAAACGGAGAGTTTGTATTTTAATAATCGTAATTACATTATTTAGCTTGTATTAAATATCGACTCGTATCTTTATAAATATTTTACAGATATTAATACATTTTATTTATATATATATATTATATAAAGAAATCTAAAGTTGGAGAAGATGTTTCTAAAATAAATATCTAATAAGGTATATGCAATATTTAAATCATAAATAATTGTATGATAGAAAAAGGAACGCGAAAGTAGAAATAATTGAAAAAAAAACAGGCAAGTGTGCGTTTATAGACGATAATATCTAAATTTTTGTTCTCGTGTAGCAAAGGGTTAAATTATTACGCGTCGATGTGCTTTGTTCGCTCGCGAGATACGCGCGAGATCTTTTCTGGGTCGAGCAGCATCCACAGTGTTGGAAGATTTATCGCTTCCTTCGCGCCGAGAAATATATCCCAAGATCGCTCGAAAATAATTGCGAGCGCATCTGCTTCGAAATACACCGCAAAATTGATCACTTCAGCATTCGCGTTCAACATTAAGGAAAAATACTGCAATTGATTTTCGTCGATCGCAGAAGAATATATCGATGATTTATATCTCTTCGTAGTTTCGGAAAATACTTGGAATTTTCAAGATATTTTTAGCGGTCTATATATTATTATTTTACATGTTTAGATCTTTTTATAACGATACATTGTTAATTATTTTTAAACGGTTCAAAGATATATTAAAGATTTTATAGGGAAATTATTGTTATTAATTATCTTTGATCACTTTATTACGAAATAAAATGATTTTGATGTACGTTTCTGAATTTTCGCTATTTATACAGGGTGTCCGGTAACTAACGGACCAATGATTAAGGGCGGATTCTCTGATCAATTTGGAAACGATTTTTCCTTAGCAAAAATGTTGAGAAGTCAATAATTTTTATAATTACATTCTTCAGTTAATTTCAGGTAAAGTTTACTATAATAAAATTTTAATTCGAGGCTTAGTTATAAAGATACATAATGACAAATATTGGAAAGTTGTAAAAAATGATGATCTTTTTCGACATTTTCACTGAGGAAAAATCGTTCCCAAATTGACCAAAGAATCCATTTGTAATCGTTGGTCCGTTAGTTACCGGACACCCTGTATATTCCACAATAATATTTATATATTCGCTACGTAAATAAATTTCAAGCGGAACGAAAGAAATTACCCCGAGAGAATTAAACGTCTTTGATAACGTTATCAGGAACCACGTTCCGTCCCGATTATTTCCCAAGCGGAAGAACGCGTGTCGGAAGGAAAGCCGAAGGAAACCCGGGAGGGAAAAAGGATCTCTCTCGCATACGCATATACACGCGTGCATATCGTTCAGCACGTATAGATCGCGAATCCGATGACAGAGAAGAAGCTAGAGAGAGAGAGAGAGAGAGAGAGGGTGGTTTTCGGACCGACGGGCGGTTCGGAGTCCTGAGGGATGAGGGACGACACGAGGGTTGCCAAGGCAACCCTCCGTGCCAACCAGCCTCGGCTTACTTTAGCCCGCTCTCGCGATCAATACAGCATCCCCCGGCGAGCTCCCGGACCAAACCACCCTCTCTCGCGCCCGCCGCGTCATCCCTCGGAACCTTTCTCCGCTCCTTCTTCTTCTTACGTGTGCCTCCTCTCCATGTGCGCATTACCGTCGACCATCACAAACCAACCCTCTCGCGTTCCACCCAAACCACCCTCTTTCTTCCTCGTCATCTCGCGCTCTGCCTCTCTCTTATCTTCGAATGTCTCTTTTCGTTACTCTCGAGCCCTCTTTCTTATCTCACCCCCTGAATTTGTCTTCAAGATTTCATTTTATATATTGTAGTGTTGTATTTAAGATGCTTCGTTTTGTTTACTTGAGAATTGTTTTCTTTGACTTGTGTAACGAGAACCAATCGAGAAGCAACACTTTCTAGTTTTAGCTATTTGTGATATTTTATGATGAGAAACACGTAACACGGGATTTAATGGAAATAGAATACTGAATACTTTGAATAAAATATTTTTTTTTGTCGAAAATATATTTGTTATCTATTCTTGTTTTATATTTGCATAGCGATGAATAATTATGAAACTTTTTATTCACGCGGTGACATAAATTTGACAACTGATTTATATTGACAGCGTCGTATAAGACATTTTTAGGGTTTTAAACAGAATACTTCGGCTTGCGACTTAACTCGGAGTGCTTTCAATCTCATCGCAGAGCCCACCGTCAAAATTAACTCCCGATAAATGGTCGTTTATTGAGAAAGAGAGAGGAAAGATACGTTAAATAATTAATCCAGCGATTCGATTAACACAAGTCCTCGCGATATTCTCGCTAAAAGATCTAGGACGCAATTAATTTTAATTAGACTGTCGCGGCTTTTATTTAAAGAGCGAAAGAGACAAAAAGAGAAAGAGAGAGAGAAACAAGTAAATAAAATTTCTCTCTCGCTCATATTGTTATCTCTCTCTCTCACCCTCTTCAGTGCTTTGCATTTTAATTGCATTTCGGTACGCGGCCCGTTTTGCATGTTAAAGCCGACCGCGAGGCCACTTATTGCGACGAGGGGGATGATGATGGGCGATGTCGCAAGGGGCGGTTGAGGGGGAGGGGAACAAAGACGGAATCGTCGTCGTCGTCGTCTCCGGCCCGGCTCGAATTTGGTCCACGGATCATCCCGCGAGCGAGCGAGCGAACTCGAGGCTGCCTGCCGTCCGCTATCGACAGTTTTCCCAATCGTATCCGTTCCGGAGAATATTCCTCCCTTTCCCCACCCCCGCTCTCTCTCTCTCCCCTCTATCGTTCCCCTTTCCAACCCTCATCGACATTGGGTGTCGCCGCGAGCGAGGCGATGCAATGTGTATCGCTGCATGCGATGCAAAAATCATTATGCAAAATGGGGGATGAATTCCGTTTTTGAGAATCGAAAATCATCGCGATATTCCTCTTTCATTGCAATCAATAAGGGAAGTAATTTAGTAAATTAGTTTAACGTGTAGTAAAGAAATTAATTGAATTGTCGCTTTTTTTTATATTACAAAAATATTAATTCTTAATAAGGCCAATGAACAGTATTAAATATTTTGGATATTAATTTGTAAGCTATTTATTAAGTGATCTGTATGATTCAAATGATCAATAGAAATTAGTTCAACTTATAGTAATTAAATTAATTGAATTGTCGCTCTTTTTTATATTAAAAAAAAAATATTAATTCTTAATAAGGCCAATGAAGAGATGAATTAAATATTTTGGATATTAGTTTGTAACTTATTTATTAATTGAATTGTCGCTCCTTTTTACATTACAAAAAATATTAATTCTTAATAAGGCCAATGAACAGTATTAAATATTTTGGA